TGATCACTTGCACCTCCGCCAATGTCATTTATTGCATAACCGATGCAGCACCATAGTTTCTTTAGAAAGAACTTCGTTTTATTACTACCTGTGCTCTTTCCTTACGTGACATGAAGTAGGCATAATCTGCCCCTTTTCCGTGGACTTGAGCGCAAAATAGTCTGGGAGCGTTTTAGGATCATCATCGTTACTATCATTTGCTTGTTTCTATGTAGAAAACCGATGTCCGTCTATTGCTGCTCTATCCAATGGCGCCATTACTATTACTGGTGACCCAATACTGGGTAATATCGCCACTTTCTCGTGCAATGCAGGGTATCAATTGTTAGGGTCTCAAAAGCGAGTTTGTTCCGCGAATGGGAAGTGGTCTGGAGTTCAGCCGCGCTGTAACGGTAAGAAAAAGTCTTAAAACGGAGTTTTCATTTCAGCTAAAAATTCTGCTATATAATATGATACCTACATAACACAGTAACATAGATCTGACGTATGCCCTTTCTTCCTTCACATTTAGAAGGTTAAGTGGAGCCGAAATCACGCGTAATTGTGCTTATCATTTATTTAAAAACATCCACACGCCTACGTTACTAAACATGAGTACGGAAATACATATTAGCGAACGAAACCTTACAAATAAAGAAAATAACATAATAAAGAAAATATTTACCTTGACGGTGCAAAGCTTTACAGGAACTGAAGGACGACGCTGCTTCTTAAAAAGTGGACATAAACATCGATCCAAACGACTAAACTTATACAGAAAACTCTCAAAATTACTCGACATTATTACGCAACATTACGCAATGATGTAAACATCAACCACAATTACAAAATACAACAAATGAAACGTACAAACACTTATTGGTAATTAACGTGTAAACGCAATGCACACAGGAAACGGAATGACAATAAGTTTCGCGATAACATTAACTATTCAGTAGGTTACTGGATTGCTTACCTCATCTCCTAAAATAAAGTACTTCACGTTCGTAGCCGGGAGATGCGTAGATGTAGGGACAGTCAAGTACGGTGCTCGTCAGGGTAGTGACTTCAGTTACGGAAAGAGCGTAAGCTTCACGTGCAGTAGTGGATATGCTTTGGTGGGTAGCAACCAGCGCCTTTGTCAACAGGGTGGACTTTGGAGCGGAGAGCAGCCGAGATGTGTTCGTAAGTGTATACACGCTTTAATTTGTTTCGGGACGTGATAACTGGTGTAAATATTTCAGTTACGTTTCTTCCAAAAATTCGAACAAATTTTAACGTAATATGTAATTGATCTACCAACGCCGCGTTAAAGACCTTCGATTGGGTCGAGAACCTTGCCCTCGTCTTCAAATTATTCGTGTATCTGTTAATCTTTAATTGTTTGTGTGCGCTGTATTTGATATTTTTTTCGGTTATCAGGAGCTGACTGTCCCCAACTGTCTGCTCCATTCCATGGTCATATACAAGGATACCGCCGAGAAACGGGCAGCACTGTCCGCGTGTCATGCAATATAGGATACGAAGTCAATCCAGATAGTTCGTCGTTTAGAACTTGCCAGGGAGACGAGCAGTGGTCCGGGGCAGACCCCAGCTGTCAAAGTGAGCGCTTTAACGCAGATACTAGTAATAAATGGTCCGTGTAAGATGTAGGCATAAAAACATAGGCCGGATCCAAACACGGCGGTTAAACATCGAAGTGTTAATCCCTTAGAATTAAATCAAAATCCTTGAGGCTTCTTGGCTTTTTATCGATAACGCGCGAAATTCAAACTTAGCTTGGATGTAAAAACGTAGAAAACGCATTTTTCATGGCTTTGTCGGTATCAACCTGTTGGCAATGTTAAAAACTACAAGACACCCGAAGGAAAAAATCTTAACAAATGGGGAAAGCTGATTTTTCATATCACTGTTCCACAACAGTGGGAAACAGTGAACATCGAGGGCGGCAGCATTGGAAGCGAAAATTTTCTTCCAATAAGAATCTTCTCAAATCGAAACTCGAGGAAACTCGATCTTAATTTCAATGAACATCTCGTGTTGTACACCTGGCTCATCACACACTTTCATTTTACAGTAAATTTAGGAGAAAACAAATTCTCAGAAGACAGTAGAAGACAGTGGGGTGCTAAAACTGAAATCCAAAACATGCAGAACTTAAAATCAAATGTTTTCCGTTTTTATGCTTGACAGTCATAGATTGTGGAGATCCTGGGACTCCATGGCATGGATACCTGAACGGCGCAAATTTTCAGTACAACAACACTGTAACGTTCACCTGCCGTCCTCAGCATCATCTGGAAGGTGACTCCAAAAGAAAATGTCAGGGGAATGGGCAGTGGAGTGGACAACAGCCCAAGTGCTTGGGTAAATATGAAATCCAGCGCCTAGTTCAATTGGGGATCGGTAGAATCAGAGCCCTAGTAAATTTCCGAATATATTTTGATTGATGGTAGCTGAATCGTCATACGTGTATTATTAAGAGAGCCATCGGTAACGAAATAATGAAAAGTGGCAGTAAAATAACAGAAAAGGTGAGTCTTTGTTGCGACATTAACTGTTCTCTTCACGTTTTTATTTCTTAGAAAGATCTTGTGGAAATCCTGGTATCCCATCAAATGGAATCAACATCGGAAGTAACCATTCGTACGAGGCTTCCATTCAGTTCACATGCAATCAAGGATATACACTGCACGGGTCCCAGGAACGAACCTGTCAAAACTCAGGGGAGTGGTCAGGTTCACAGCCAACATGCCAGAGTAGGTCTAATATACTTCTTGGAACCAAATCAAATTCGTTGCTAAACCACCATCATTACAAGAACTAAGGTGCTGCTTTGGTACTCAGAATTTCATTGATTCGGTCGTGCAAGGCATGTGTCTTCGCCTATGTACTACCTAACATTAGTAGAAGGCTTGCTTACAATTTTTAAGCCTTGTCATCAACCTTTCCCACCACAATTTTTTTCAATATTTATCCTTTTGGAATGAGACTTATCCGTCATACTGTCAGGTGCTACCCTCTATATAAAATTGTTACTTACTCACTTCATGCAACTTCATTAAGGCCGTCTAATGTGTACTTTCAAAGGTTCTTTTTTTATGATCTCTAATATAATTGATTGTCTAAATCCTTAGTTGTGAGCTGCGGTGATCCAGGATCCTTGTCAAACGGATTTAAGATAGGCAATAAGTTTACCTATGGCGAAAGCGTTATTTACGACTGTAATGCAGGCTACAAACTTCAAGGATCTATCATTAGGAAGTGTGGGGCTAATGGTCAGTGGTCTGGATCAGCTGCTAGTTGTGTCGGTAAGAAATTGCAGTTTCATCGAGTTTTTATTTTATCCTCTCGTTGCGAACACCTTAAGTACTTGCTCCTTGGCAAACTCTTCTCCGACGTAAAAGAGTCATGCTTAACTGGTAAATAGCTAAAAAATCTGCGTTGCGAAACTAATTAAACTAATAATACGTCCTAAGGAGCCACCTCATTCCATTAATACACAAATTCATCGGTCGTAATTATGAGAAACGTCGAAAAAATCCCTTATCAATAATGTAGCTAATTGATATGAATGTGAAAATATCTTATTCAAAACAATTACAAAAATTGTTTTCCTTTTGGGTAAGTGTACTGTTGGGTCAATGCTCTACATCCTAGAGGCAAGCCAATGAACGCTAAAGGAAGAAACAGACAAAATACGAATCATGCTTGACTCAAGCGTACATCTTCATATCGTTTCAGCTTCTAATTGCGGCAAGATTCTTAATGGACCCTCAGGCTCTCTTCAATCTACTAATTTTCCGAACAATTACCCGAACAATGAGTACTGTACTTGGGAAATTCAAGTGCCTCAAGGAAAGAAGGTCCGTCTAGAATTCGAGGAGCTTCGGACAGAAGAGAACAAAGATTTCGTACTCATTTATGACACCGGCAAGACAGACCCGGTCGTTGCGTTGAATGGCGTTAAGGACAAACCGCGCGCAATTACTTCCACCGGGAACAGCATCAGAGTCAGATTCATTTCAAACAGTGTCAACACTAACAATGGATTTAAAGTTTCTTACAAACAAACAGGTTAGTAAAGTTTTCACAAAGCGCACTGGCACGGCTTCTGCTGACCTTTAAATTCAGCCGTCACATCATTCAAATCATCACGATGGGTCAGGAGCGATCGGCACCAGTTTGGTGATATCCAAGTGTGTGCTTTATACGGCCGAATACGATTAACTCGTTTTCTTTTTTTTGATCATTTTGAAATGCACTCAAAATTCATGGAAAACTACTGGGTAAATGTGATCATCTAAATAGTTGTTTATGTTAGGAATGGAATGGTATAATTGCCGGTGCCCTTACTTTCAGGTGATAGGTAAAGTCGGTCCAACCTTCAATTTTTAGAGCACGTCGAGCTCTGGAAATAAATTTCTCCATTTACTTGTGTAGTTACTATGCTTTATCTTCTTGCAGTGACATATATGAAATTTTTTTTTCAGGCTGTGGAGGAATCCTGACCAGTCAGACTGGAGAGATACGCTCTCCTGGTTTTCCAAATGGTTACCCGCCAAACCTCAGCTGTATCTGGCTGATCTTTATTCCCGACAGACAAATCGGCCTTACTCTGAACGAGTTTAAGACAGAAAATGCTTACGACCGTCTCGAAGTTGCCCATGGACCCTGGATAACTTCACCGCTGGAGATTGCCTGGAGCGGTCCCAGTCCCTTGTCAGGTCAGGTGGTGACCACCAAGTACATGTGGATTCATTTTGTAAGTAGTGCACACGACAATGGTATCTACAAGGGTTTCCGAGCCACATACAAGCCATATGTTGCTTATTCAAAAAAGAAATGATGATGACTGAGGCATATACAAGGGGGATTCAAATCAATCTAAAATTTTGTAGAGTTCGTTCAGTTAGTAGTTGTTGATAGTTAATAAATATGCAGAAGGATTCCTTGTTTGAATAGTTTTGAACTTTCTCTGGTCAAGTAGAATGGAACGGATTAAAATTGGATGTCATTAGTAGACTTAATCACTTTATTTTAATACTATTCAGATAACAAAAAAACTAAATTTCTGACCATTACGTCTTAAAGTCTTCATGATTATTGGCTCGTCAAACTGCAACTCGAACATAAAATAAGGTAAGAGTTTCATGATCCTAGCGTTGACCATGACAGAGTCACATCCATGGTTCCCAGCCTTGCCAAGTTCGTCCGAGTATATTAGCATCCGTGGCTTGATCTATCAAACACAACACTTGAGACTCCACTGACAAACCACTTTCAGGTTCACGAGCCCTTACATTGGCATTCCTGTCTCCAAGACACACAGATTCCATTTGCTTATACCAAGATTGTTTCGAGTGCCCCAACAGAAGATCTTCCCTATCAAAGCATCATACAAAGTACATTGATAACTCAATTCACATATTAAGTTGTATAAGTCGCACAGAATGCAAACGCGGCGCTAATAGCTCTGGAACGGTCAAGCCAAAATCCCACTCCTTAAACAGACCTCATAACATATGCAGGGTTAAATCCTTCCAACTTCTTCCATGCACTGTGCACTTTCTGTTTTGGGTACCAATCTGCATTCTGCTCGTCTAAAAATAAGAAAAAAGACAAAATAAGAAAGAAGTAACCAAATGAACATGAATCAATTTAGACTGATGAAAAAACGTCCATATTTAATCTTAGCATCGTATTCGATAATCAATTATCTCCTTTGAAATGTTTGTTGTCGTGAACAAAGTAGTACGAAGTTAAAAGAAAATGTAAATCATGGCATCTTCAACTTGGTACTCCAAATCAGGTAAAATTATTTATGAAAAAAAAATACAGACCTGTATTGATTCCTTGAGTCTTGGCTTGTTTGCGAGCATACACCTAAAGTCAAGCGTGAATTTATGTTAGCTCGAGTTTTTGTTTCTCTTACTGATGGTGATTTTCATTGCCAGTAACTATCATTCCTTAGTCACTCAATTAATCAATCAATTACTTTATCGATATTGTAATCAATTAGTCAATTATTCAGCGCTGAAATATCAAGCAGGTCTTAGAAAAGCATCCCCAAGAACCGACAACTGCAAGTGTCTATGACACCAAATCAATTCTTAATCAATTCTTATAAATTCTTTATAAATTGAAACTATCACGATGTTGGAAATCACATTTAGTTCCGAAACTGGTCGATCAAATCGTGATATCAAAAAGGAGCATTTGCACAGTAAGCAAATCCTCTCAGTGCTGCCCTGAGCGCTCCTTAGGCTGAGAACTACTTCAGTGTCGTCACGTAACCCTTTCTGGCTGACTCCTTCAGTCGCTGTTGATAACTAAACCTAGAATCTCGCACTGCAAAAAGGACAAACCAAACATCATAAATAAACAGATTTCTGAGTTGAATAAGAACATAATTGAATTAGATGCTAGAATGGGGAGTAGAGCTTGATAGAAAGAGGCGGATGCTCTTTTCCACCCGAGACCTTCACCAAAGATTTACCTTGATACTGAATCGCTCATTAGTTTGAATATATATTCTGGACGTCTTTGCCCTGACGAGACGCGTATGTAAATTTCCATTTGTTATCAGTGATGATGCTGCGTTTTTAAAGGTCACGGAACGGCATGTATTACTTAAAAAAAAAAAGGAAAAAAAAAGAATCTACGAAAGGCCCAGATGACATCCCTATAGCTTATGTAGAGATCAAGCGGAAATCTCACCACAGGCAGACCACACAATGTGTTCGCGGTAAATCATTTTTGAGATGAGACGAACAAAATCTATATGGGTTATGAATAAAGCTCTGAAAATTGCATGTCTAAATTTCATCTCGGTCTGAATATCTCAACAAAGTTAAATGAAATGTTACTTGATTCATTTGTGGTATATTTTCGCCTTCATGGGCCGTTTGAAGCGTCTTTTTACGAAACTACTTTTGGCCAGAGGCCGTTTAGAGAAGAAAGGGAGACCAGGCTTGCAACTTGGTGACTACAAGCCGCGACCTTCTCCACTTAAAAAAATTAACACCAAACCACTGAAATCTCTCCTAACTGGCGACGGCTGTTGATCGATGCGATTTTTCTCTATCTCTTCGCCGAATTTGAGCTCCATCTCTCAAACTTTTACCGAGAAAATCGATGCTGAAATCATGAATGTAGCTTTCTCAACATGATCGGTGTTAAACTCAGCGACTTAAGGAATTCGGAGCATGCAAACCGTTTCAAGTTTACCAATCAGCGCTTGGCTTTGTTTTCAACCACGGTGGGCTGCCGCGGGAAGTTGCTGCACTGATTGGTAAATTATCACTTCTTTATTGGACGAGACGCATATCTAAGTGTCCCCAGGCGCTCCTCATTGTAAAATTTATAAAAAAAACTTCATACGGTTTTCACACTTATTTAACATGATTTCATTTTACAAATAGAGAAGCCTTGACTGTGTTCTATTCTGCTGTAAAGCACGCGGGAAGCAGCTAAAGCACAAAAGAAGTGTAGGGAGAAATACGAGACGTGGTCGGGTGTTTCTCCCCAAGTCTTGAGTGTTCTAGCAGAGTCCTAAGTGTTTACAACAGAACAGAACACGGTCAAGGCTTCTCCATTTGTTTTACAATAAAAAATCCGTTAAATTCGCCACGCATTACTTTCAATTTTCAAAAAAGAAAAAAAACTAGAGAGAAGTCCCGGAAAAGGTTGGACATAGTACAATATGGCTGATGGCGTGACAGCTTTAGCTCAGATCCAATTAAGGCCTATTTACACGGTACGACTTTGTCGCATGCGACATGTTGAAAACTGGACCGAGAGTGTCACGTGGAATTTTGTATGTTTCTTACCCCCCACGAATTGAACTTTGAACTCTTGATGAAAACTCAAAAAAGAAAAAAATGAAAAGGAATGCGTGAAAGCTGTCTTGTACATTGTTATTCTGGAATACAGTCTTT